GCATATCTAAATGAAGATGAATATTCAATTGCTATGGAATTTTTTCTTCAAATCGATATCAATCTTTTTTATATGAAAACATGTTCATATCGAGAAGCAATACCTATATCAAATGAAATTAGTCTCATTTGTATGAATGAACCACAAGTATGTTATAGTATGACTCAATGTAATCGAACATCGTGTTCTTTATGTTATCCATCTTACAAATTAACATATCGTAATGATAAACCAATTATTCAGTTTGGACCTAATCAACAACATCAATTTATAAATAATTATCGATCGATTCTTAATTGTCCAGCAACATGTAATACACAAAATATTATTTATGTTCTTACATGTCCATGTCAACAAGTCGATTATATTGGTGCAACTAGTTTATCGTTAGCTGGTCGTCTATCTTGTAAGCACAAATTACAAAATCAGATTAATTAATTTTGGTTTTCATTCTAGATCATCAAAAACATAGTAATCGTATTGTTCAAGAATTTCTTCTTGGTGAAAAAAATATTACTCGAATTCATCATGAAATAAAATCGAACGAGTAATATAATACACAAATGAATTGATTTCTAATATTCTGCATTATTTTGAAGAGATTTAAGCAAAGATAGTATGGCACTTTATCAACATACAGCTCATTGTCCAGCAGCTATTCAATGGTTTTTAGATGAAAATCCTGAATATTGGATTTTTGTTCCAATCGAAACAAATAATGATGAATGTAGATCTACGATTGATTCCAATATGTTTAGCTATGCTCAGGACATACCATCACCACCAATCAACTATCAATTTACTAATCAACAAAAAATTGAAATAGATCGATTTTTTCATGAAGAAAAATATTTAAAATCGCCAATCAATGATCGTCTCGATTTATATCAAGCTGCAATTGTTGCTATATGTAGATCGAGATTATTTTCATATTAAATCTATTACATATTTATTTATTTCTTTTTCAGTGCCTACGAATGGATCAAATGCTTTGAGACAATTTATCGAAGCATTATTTATTACTCATACTGAAGCACAACTCAATACAGATGGTCATTTAGATAAACTTCTATTTTCAGATGGAATAATTAATAATCAGAACGATTTTTCTAAAGAAAATATTTGGTGTAAAGATCTTGTTCGTCGACCTTTTTGAGAACACAAGAAACTTGTTTTTTTGTATGTGAAAATATTCGATTTTCTAGATTATAATGCTTCGTCAACGTCTTTTGTCGACTGATGTATTACCATTAGATTCAGTTCGTAATATACGACCAACTCGACGATTAAAATCAAATCGTGTTAATGTATCAACACAAACATTAGAGATGGATATTACAAACAAAGAAGATGTTCATATGAAACTAGATTATTCCCGACAATGTTATATACCAATAACAATGTTTGCTCCTCATATTCGTCTTCAATCCATATTACCTATCTTTCCTGAAATGAATGAGTTCAATGAATTTTATCCTCTTTTAACAAATATACCAAGTATATTTTTTT